CATTGTTTAGAAAACTTTCAAAAAACGTTTTTAAATTAAATGGAACCAATAAACGTTTTACTTTTTTAATAATTTTTTTTTACACAGACAGTGATTGMAAAGCTTTTGTAACACTGGCTTAATTATATGAGCACACGCGACTAGATCAACTGCGAGTTTATTTTCATCTTTTCGCCAACCACGATACTTATTTCTCTGAATATGATCTTAGCAACTTCCTAACATATAACGGAACTTTTTTGCATACCGTTATACAAATGAAAAGCTAATTCGGTGAATTTATTTTCAGAAACGTAGTTTTGCTATGCAGTGGCTTAATTATGTGAGCACAAGTGTATGTAAAGTTTTAAGTTAAGTGACAACGGTCTTAGTCTGTCAATTATATAGCATTAGTATAAAATATCCGCAAACTTTGTAAACACTTCTTTTGTCTTATGAACAATTGCTAGTTAAGCTGTACATAGGCGTTTACCTGTGGAATAGAGAGGATAAACATCATTGCATTTATATCTAAATCAGAATCTTACTATTTAATTAAGATTTCAATCGACATAAATCGTATTTTTACTGCAACTATGTATCTTGGGGCACAATCATTTCTATTAATTATAGCTTAAATAGAAAGGAGATTACTTGTAGATGCCGTGGGCAAAAAATAGTAGCGCTCCTTTTTTTAATTTATATTTATTTTTGGTTGGTTAGACTGTCCGTGATATTTGTCCCAAATATCTCATCGAAATAATCATTGGTGTTTAGTACACGCTCTGAAGTACATAAAGTGCATTCGGCGATTTTTACGATGAGTGGAAGAAGTTCCATTAAATTTTGTCAGTCGGTTATCACGGCAAAGGTGAGCCGAAGCCGAAAAAACTACGTCAAAGCTGGTCAAAATACAAGGAGTGGACTGCAGTTTTCTTCAATTATCGCGATGTGGTGTCCTTCCGGACCGGCCAAACTATCAACAAGGAATACACCTTGAGTGTTTAATAATTTGATACAGCTTAATTTGAAAACGTTTTTCGTTATCTCTCTTAAATATAATTCTAATGTAAATTTTCTCATTTTATGCTCTTCTTTAAACGTATTATACAATATATGCCTGAGCTTGGATGTACTCTACTGTTGGATACAATCCTCTTATAAAATCCACTAAACAGTTGAATGTCAGGTAACTTCCAGGGTACACCACAATTTGTTGCAGAAAATCGCCCTTGCAACTAACATGGGTGTAATTTTTTGTATATAATTCATATATAAAAGTACATCTCTCCATTAGCAAACAACTTATAATTCCCTAGCAATTACTCATCTTTATATTTTCCAAATTGTACTTTGTAACGTGTTGCACAATTAGTGTGCTTATGAATTTGGTGATTTTTAAATTCTAATCAGAGTACGAAAAACGTGCCGAAAGAAAATTATTCCTTGTAAACGTATGTGACTGCCACACATGGACTTTTCGTGACAAAGAAGAAGAACATACAGCAAAATGCAAAGTTCATAACTAGATTTATGGAAACTTACGCACATATAT